TGTTCTGGGGCAAGGAGAGAAATAGGAGGTGAAAGTCAGAGTCCTGTGGGCAAGATGTATGTTCCTGTTTTGCTGCAGGAACTGTAGGTGGTCTTGGTCCAGCCCACAGCACAGGCTCTGCCTGAAGGTGCACCCAGCTGGCAGAAGTATACACATTAAGAAAACACTTTCAATGGTCAGTCTTCTGAAATGGTTTACGGTGTCTGATTTGTGAACATCTACACAAAAAGACAAGGGAGGGGAAGGGAAAAAAGGGGAAACATTTTAATGTTGCGGCTTTTTGTCCATACAGATGAATATCAGCCCTTACTGGGCTTTGAAATTAGGATCAAAAAAAGTATTATTGGTTGCTTGAGTTTTCCTGCTGGAAAGGCCAGAACCTCAAAGTGTGCAGGAAGCCCTCCCCCAGCTGCTGGCTTGGCAGGAGACAGGCAGAACAACAACCACACAACAGCATAAATACATTTCTGAAAAGGCTCTCCATTAAAAAGAAAAAGATTGTATGTTTCAACCCCATGACACCAACACATTCAGATTTGTATTATATGACACATACTTTGAATATGTACAAGACTGATAAGCATATTAATGAGCCAAGCTTTGACAGGAAAATATCTTTCAAAGCTTGGATTTCTTTGACATAGAGTTCTTCCGTGCTGGAGATAATTAGCGCTGCCTGCTTTCCCCTTGTTCACAGAAGAATTTTTTCCCATAGTATAAACATTAGTCAGAGCTCTCAAAAATCCTGTTGAGTTAAATCCAACTAGTAAAGAATGGCACAGCAAATGTCAAATAAGAGACAAGGAGAAAATCGAAATAAAAAGTGATTAATTTAAGGAATTTGAAAATCAACTCTGCATTTTGTTTTGAGTATGAAATAGCTCATAATGAATACTGATTTTGATGACAATTTTTACTATTTTTGCTAGACTCAGAACTGCATCCAGCATTCACCTCTGAATAGGGATGAGCAAACCAGCTTAGAAAAATGTGTTTGCTGCTTCAAGTATTTTCTGAATCTTTTCTCATTTACTGGATGAAACCCAGACTGACAGTCTGAATTTCAGCATCTATGTGAGTTTCTGGTTTGGAACCCATACAGACTAGATCCACATCTCTTCTTGAGTGGTGGCCTTTTCACTAAGAGTGCGTTATGCTACAGTAAAGGTAGGGCCACTGTCTGCAATCTAGCTGGTACTGCAGGGTGAAATAATTGTGTAATGAGTGTCTATATCTCTACAGATTAAGATATGATAGTTCCAGCATCAACTATCTCATCCGTAATGGTGATGGAGGCATCCCACCTTCAGCATGACTTTTCTCTATTGCTTTATTGTGCAGCACATCAAAGAGAAAAGAGTTCAAATATTCCATCATTACTTTTGCAAAGCAATCAGTCTGAAATTATTGTCATAGCCTTTCTGGCTTTTTTCCTTCAGTGCAGACTCAGGGGAGCACACACTTGCATTGTGCAGACCCCAAACAGGTTGTGACAGAAGACAAGCATATATTAGAAACATTCCTGCAGGTCCAGCTGGGATTAGGTGATGCTAGAAGAAACTCTGTGGCAGAAATCAGCAGTAAGCTGGGGAATCTCTTCTTTCAAACCTCCTTTCCTGCCAAGGGCTTGCTGCTGGCTTGTGTTGAGCTCACTGCCACCAGGACACTATGGCTTTCCTCACAGAACTTCTTCCCAGCCAGCCTCTCCCTAGCCTACACCATTTCCAAGAACTCTTCCTTTCTAGGTGCAGGACTTTGCATTGTTCCTTGATGAATTTCATAAGGTTCCTATCAGCCCATCCATCCCTTCTGCCTGTCTATGTGTCTCTGAGTGACAGTCCTCCCCTTGTGGGTATTGGTCATGCCCACAGTCTGAGTTCATTTGCAAATTTCATGACAGTGAACTCAATCATGTCTTGCAGCTGTTAAACAGGACAGGTCCCAGGATAGATTCTTCAATTTCTCCAGGTATATATTACCTGCCTCCAGGTAAAACATAACCTGATACCTCCTGTTGCTTGAGCACAGTCTCCCATTACATTTTTACTCAGTTAGTTGTCTGCTCATCCAGACATTCATAGACTTGGATGCAAGGCCACCGTGGGAGACAATTGAAAGTCTTGCTAAAGTCGGTGTAAATGACATTCATGGCTCTTGCCTTATATGCAAAGCAATCAGGTTGCTCAAGCATGATATATCAGCAAGCTGGCTTTTCCCAGTCATCTCCTCCTTCATGTGCCCATAAATATGTTCCAAAATTAAATAAGCTTACAATATAACAAGTAACATTTCTTTCCACAAGAACCAAATGCCTCTTTGTCTCTTCAATAAAGAGTATCCACCCTAGGAATCAACCCTGTCCATTGGGTGCTATTAGGAAGCCCTGCTAGCAGTTGCATGGCATTCTGATCCTTGAGCTTAATCTTCCATCTTGGTGTTAAATTGCAACTTTTATGACTCTTTAAATCTCACCCCTCAAGTTGTCTCCAGAGAGAGCAAGAGATGCATACTCTAACATGCCTTCAGCATTTCTGCAAAATCCAGATCAAGGACTTGGCAGGAACAGATGCTGTCAGGCTTACCTCTGATGGGAACCAAGGTTCAGTATGCCAGGTGCAGGCTGGAGCATGTCCAATTCTTGCTCCAGGACAGGTCAGGAATAAGGATAGCCAAATTGACTGCCAGGACATGGGCACTCACCCTCTGGACCCTTTGAAGTCCACCAACATAGATGTAGGTCCTGTAAAGCCAGATAGTTAAGTCTGTACTGGTGCCTGAGTGGAAGGGACATATCAGAGCAGCACTGCACCCCAGAAGAAAACCAGCAGCTCCACCTCTGGGGAGATATTAAGTCCATGCACAATGAATATACAGTTTGTTTCCTGAGGACTGACTGTAAAATGTCAGTAGACACAATCCTCATATGTTCTTACCTAGTCCTTTTCAGGTAAGAAAGTAGGAAGTTTTAGCTAAATGAAGCAAATAAAATCTGGCTTGGCTTAGGCACAGGAGTTAATATTCAAATCTTGGCAAAACTTGTAGCAAGCAGTGGTGGCACAAGAAGTAAAAGAACTGTAGACTTTAATCACCTCTGAAGTATAGCACCTGAAGCATCAATAGCATGAGCCGTAACTTCAGGAGAAGGGAAGAGCACCATCTACTGAATGACAAAGGCGGGTTTTGCTTTTATTTTTTAGGAGAGGTTGCTCATTCACAGACAAACCAGCAGTTCCTGGATAGTTATGGGTCACTGGGGAAGTTACTTAACCTGCAGTAAGAATTAAGAATCAGGGAGAGGAAAAGATTACATCCCTTTAAACCTTTAAGACCTTCCTGGAACATTGATAGTCACAGTAGCCGTAAATAATGTCTGGACCCTTTCTTCACACTGCTGCCTATTAAGTATGTGTTTATCTAGTTAACGTAACTCATCAAACTTTAAAAGTAGTTTAAAATAAAAACAAAGGCAAAAGAAGATTTAGTTAAAGATTAATAAATGATCCTATTAATGTAATAGACTGTGAGTCAACCAGGAAATCAGTCATTTGGGTTGACCTTCTTTCCTACTATTGTAATAACGTGCTTTTCCCACATCCCCAGTCCCTGTCTCTCCACTTAGGCATTCTCTTAGAATAAAATAAGCCCCAGATTTATATTTCTAGACTTTTCTTGGTCATGATTTTATTGATGTTATCTCTTATGTTGGCTTTTTAAAGCACTTGCTAAATTTGCATGTAATATGAAGCTACAGTGATCCACCATCCTCCTACACTGCAGTCTGTTCTAGCCTACACCACATAAAGACTCTTTCGCTGTCACAGGGTGGGAACTGTGCACTGAGGCTCCTAAAATAGATTTAAAGGGAAAAAAGACTGGCAAAGAAAAATGGGGAAACACTGAGAGCTTGGTTCTGCTCTCAGGACACACTGCATGTTCACTTCACCATGTCTTCTGACAAAATTGCCTCTTTTGAAGGAAACTTGAGGTCATCTCACTATTTTGATTCAATTTTTGGAAGATCAAACCTTCTTGACGGTTCATTTCTAGACCCTATCCAGCTCGCCAAACACAGCTTTATCAGCTCTGGGAAAAGGAATAACAGCTCTTGAACCAGAGATGTGGTCATTTTATTTAAAAATCTGGCTTGTATGTATTACATGATTGGTGGGAAGTGCCAATGTCCACAACAAAGCCATTACCAAAGACTATAATCACAATGAAAGCTCCACCTCCATGCTTCTTTAGCTCATGGTACTTCACTAAATATTTTACCAAAATTACATCATGACTTCTGATTCACTCATGCTGTTGTCCAAAAGAAATCAATACATGTCATGAAAATGTTCTATTTCTTCTTTTAGTTGGAAGTAATTTTTAAATGATACTAAAGAATCCCCCAAAGGGTGGTTTGTCATCATCGCAAATACAAAACATACCAGGAAGAAACAGTAGGATTTCATCAAAATTCTACCTTTCAGAAATGAAATTAATGCAATTTTTAAAAAGTAAAGAAATACAACAGGTTAGGTTTTACAAACAAATCAGGAACAAAGCCTGGTCATCTGCTCAGTTCAAGGGTGGTTAGTAAATGGAGTTTCCATTTCACAAAGATTGCCACGAAGACAGAAGACAAGTCTGACTAGAGATAGAACAAGCTTGAAGTAATCAAAATTTCTCAATAAATTGATTTTAAAACCCCCTAAGGTTATCAGTGATTTTGTTTTGCTTTTAACAAATCTTTAATTTTTATTTTGTCTAACAAGTACACAACATTTTAAAACCTGTAATAAAAACTTATTTTGAACATTAAAAACAAATTGATGGTGAATCATTTCTCTATTTGATTTTTGTTTGTTTGTTTGTCTGTTGAAATCAATGCAGTGCAAAATACTTTTGAGAAATTATTGACTTCTGATGGAGAAGCAACCATCTTCAGAGCTTTTTGATTGCAATTGGCTGTGATATCCCTGCTCATGTCCTGCTGAGCCCTTCTCAAACACAGCAACTCTACTTTGAAGGTGATGGCAAATGTGCACTATGAGAGGAAGTCGCTGTGTGGACAAGCTCTCTGGGGTGTTAAACAAAACCCATCCTTACTTATAAAGTGCTGCTGATGGCTGTAGTGTCACGTTTTTCTCGAGACCAGATTGACATAAATAATTCCTACAGCATGGCACATTGTCTGCGGGACCTCTGGACAGAGAGAGCACCTGTGATTGTAGGTGACTTTGGGCACTGGTACCATCTGGTGTTTCTGACTTTCAGCTTAGCACATACTATTTTATTTTTGAAAGCCTGAAATATCAGGTCATGCCTCTGAGCTCACTGGAGGGAAATGGACTGATGTTTACAGGTTGTGATCTGCAGAAAGTCATGATGCCGATGTAGACAGATCCCTCCCGACTTGACTTTCTGTAAAACTGATGAACTACAATGAGAGCAGTTCCTCACAGAAATATTTAATGTGATAGAGGAGAGTTTGGTTGGTTGGTTTGGGTTTTTTCCTGTGGTAGGGGGAAGTTCAGAAAGCAAATATGGAGGCAGAAGAATGTATAACTTATACATTGCAACTCTTGATGCTCTGTGCCCAGGTTTCATGGCAGTAGATATGCAAACTTTGGTAGAAAGAGTGGATATCAGGCTGCATTTTCTTGCATGTTAATCTCCAGGGAACAGTAGCAGATACAAGCCACTGAACTGGCAAATGGTGGATGTCAGATTGGCAATTTGGTGGTATTTTTGTCTGAATCTACTTGTGGTTCTGTTTTCTTCCCTAATTTTGCACTATTGCATGGTTGAATGCCTTGAACTGAGTCCACAGAAGCTTCAAAAAACATGGAGAAGAACAAGAAGGGAAAAGAACAACAAGGAAATCGTGCCTCCGATTAATGCTTCAAAGGTGTTAATATAACAGTAGTTGGTTCTAGCAAGGCTACAACAGAATACATGACCCAAGGATTAAAGGAGACCTAAAACTTCTCAGAGCCGAGGGGTCAACAAGGATGCATCAATGAAAACACCGACAGATGGGTGAAGATCAGCACAGGGGAAAGGGAGCACCCTGTGGAAGTGGAGCCTGCTCCTTGCAGGTGGGCAGAAGTGTCTGAGCTGTTGTGGAGAAGTTACACTTAAGGAGATATAGCTAACTTTATATGAGGACCCTATATGTCTTGGACTACTTCAAGAGCATTGTATTCTGTTGGAAACACCTCTGACCATTTCCTTAGCTATATTGAACTCCTGTTGGTATTACTGGTTAAGGTTGTGACTAGAAATGACACCCAGCTCATGACTTGGGACTTGGGAAGTAGCTCAGTTCCACCTCAGAGAAGGTAAAGGCCAAGGCCTTGGTGGTTTGACTCAGAGAAAAGGAACAGACACTTGTGATATTCTGGTTTCCACAGTATGGGAAAGGAGGATTATTAACTTTGTCTTCTTGAAGCTGACCTTTCTGTGTTTCCATCTGCACCAACTTTCTTCTCTTATGGAAAGTTGTGAAGACCTTCCCATGCAAACTTGGTTGTTTTATAGTCTTCCAGATACTTGCAAGGTGCCCCCATGCTCTCCACCCTCACAGGAAACTTTGGGTGAGTAAAACTCCTGATTACATAATGGGATAGAAGTAGCAACTCCAATGCAGGGAGGCTGAAACATAGTGGAGTACAAAAGGAGAATAGAGATGAACTCTAAAAGTTGGAGACGCTTTTTAGAAACCCAAAGCCAACTGCAATTTAACAAGTGAACAATTCTACGCAATAAAGCAGTTGCCCAAGTACAGAGGAGAAGACATTTGTTAGCAACTGCCCTGCAGAAAACACAACATCATAGAGGTGATCACAGCCTAAGGGCAAGTTAAAAAGTAATCGTCATACTTAAAAAAAAAAAGAGCATTATCCCAGAGTGTAAAAGCAGGAATGCTGATTACACTCTGGTGACACATAATTCCTTTGATAGACTCATTACTGGTGAAGCCCAACTGCAGAACAAAGTCCAGTTTTGGTACTTCAGGAGAGCCACTGAGCAATGGAAGAAAGTGCACCAAAGAGCAACATGAGTTGCCAATGGTGTAGAAAGCAAGACCTACTAAGAAAGTTGGAAGGAATCAAATTTGTTTGGCCTAGGTAACAAAACAAGCAGAAAGGGAATGACACAAATCTTCATGTGCACAGAAGTGTAGCGGCTAGGAGAAAGAATAATTTGCTCACAACATTCACTGCGGAGAAGGCAAGTAGTAAATTGTGTCAAGGAGACAAAAGATCAATTTTCAACCAAAATGAGGACACTAAATCCTCAAATGAGGATTGTGAAGCTCTGAAATTGATATGGTAATATTTCTTACTCATACCTATATCTATATACTCTTATTTACAGACACAGCAGCTTTCTGTTGAAATTTCTTCTGCAAGATTACTTACCCATGCACTCCACTGACAGATGCACTGAAAGGTTGATCATAAGGCCAAAGGAAATGGTCATCTGTTTCTGAAGAGTTAGTGTTGCCTTTTGCTATGTAGCTAGGTGAAACTACATCACAGCAATGAAATTCTGAGTTTCTCTCCTTGCTGTTCATTGCCACTGTGCTTATTTTGTCAAATGTGCAAAGACCAAAGACTAGGCAGACACAGACACAGACGGCATGTCACAGCGGACCTTGACACTGTTCTTAAAGGTGATTGCCAAGAACAATTCAGTGAAGTAATTTGCTTACTGTGTAAAGAAAATTAATAACTGTGTAGCCAAAGTCTGCAATATGAGGCAAAGGCCTTCACTGTTACATGTCTTTGTGAAAGAGGCAGCAAATAATCTGTGTGGGCAGTAGTGTACACTAGATCAGAATAGATGGATGGCAGTAATTGATAGGTCCAATGACCACTTTGCTTTAGCATCCTCCCATTGTGATGTGGTCTGCTTTGTTTTTAAACCTCAGCTTAGCTGCAGCTGCTTTTTGTGATTAAACTGTGGCTAAAAAATAGCAGCTTCTCTGTGAATGCATCCCAGCAGTACTGCTAAGCAGGAAGAGTAGGTTGCATTCAGTCAGCAAGTCCATCCTCAGAGCAAGCTTTTGCTCTCTTCATATATTATTTGTAAACCTTGTGCAAGGCTTGCACAAGACTGTGCATTATGAATAATAAAGAAAGCCTGCATCATAACTATTCTTTGTGACATACAATTTGCACATACACCACTGTGTTTTGCTAGACTTAAGAAAAAAGAAATCAGCATAAAATTCCAAGTTTGAAACATGTTAGCTGAGTTATACAATATATCAAATAAGTTTTCAACGATATAAAGATTTAACTTTAACAGTGAAGAAGAGTAAAGTATGAGATACCACTGTTCTGCAGCACTGTATGGTGTCTAGTGTCCATCCATAGTAGAAGAGAGAGGAAAAATCTTCCAGTCTTGGAGAACAGAAGGACGCTTTCACAGGACAAGTGCTATGGTTGTTCCTTGTAACAACAGAAACAGAAAAGCTGAAGCTCTAAAACCAGTCAGGGTAGGGAGTACTTAAGAAAGTTGCAGAGACTAGTTACCCTGCTCCAAAGCTGAGACACTTGAGCATCAGGTGGACACATTGGCAAAATGGAACGACACACTTAAATGTTTTACTTTTTTGCAAAATTCTGTCTTTAAGTATGTAGATTCTTTAACTTCCAGTTCTTCCCTATTGATGCTGCTGGAATGTGTCTTAATTTTAGAGCATGCCCTTCTAATGGGGTGAAAATTCTAAAAACCTGTTCACTTTACTCTTTCAAAATAGCCAGCACTATGCACCCATTTTCCTAGATATGCAGAAAGGTTGTGGAATCTCCATCATTGGAGATATTCAAAAGCTGTCTGGACGTAGCCCTGAGCAATCAGCTCTAGATGATCTTGTTTGAGCAGGGGGTGTACCAGACAACCTTCAGATGTCCCTTCCAGCCTCAGCCTTTCTGTGATAAGTAGAAATTATCTCTGCTGATATTAGGTAGTGTGAAGCAAACTTGAACCCTGAAGATATCAAGAAAAAGAAATGATGTGATTCTATTCCTGCTCTCTGCACAAATCCCTGTTAATGTTTCTGAGGTGTTTTTACAGACCAAAAGCCTTTTGTATTACACAGGAGTGTGACAGAGCTGTAACTTGAGTTAGTTCTCACAAATATGCCTTTTTAGAAGTACTTCCTTGTAAAATTGAAATAACTTATTGAATTATATATTTCAAAACAAGATTGTGTACAAGTTGGAAGTACAGTTATCCAGGGACCTGACCTTAATCTGTTTCCTTATGCCATCAATATGGTGCTTTGCAGATCTATGAATATTTATGAAACATTATTATGGGTGAACTGGATGTTATTATTCAATGTAGAGTAGAATCATAGAATTGTACTTGCTTGAAGTTTTGATTTCTTCTTCTTGTGCTTGCATTGAGCGTAAAACTCAAGCTGTTTCTCAAGAACAAAAGTCTTGAAGAAACTGAAGGTTTTGCTGCTTTATATTTCCACTGACATCAGCAAAATTCCACCTTTTTTCAGCAAAACCATCACCTTCCAGGGGACGGCTCTTAGCAGGTCTTCATTTCCCTTTCCTTTAATCCCTCTAACAAAGGCATTGAATCCTAAATTATGGGTGCAAAAATCCATTGCAGGACAGTTTTTGAGCACCAACTCTTTCACACAAACCATTAACAGACAAGAGCAATCGGATAAGAATTTTCACCCAGCAGCAGAAATAGCAGAGCTGCAACTGAACTCATGACCTCTGTACAAGCTTCCACAGTTAAGCCATCACCAGGTCATTAGTCAAACATTCCCCCTTTCTTTCCACATCAGGAGCATGAGCTCCTGATGGAGCAATGATCATAATTGTGGTAACAGCTGTGACAGTTACAGAAAACGGAGGCATCATTGTTAATTCCACTGCAGTGCCTGCACTCTCAGCCGAAGATTTCCCTTCATTTTGGAAGCTGAGCATCACCCAGTAGCTAACGAATAATTATAGCCTTACTGCTATTCCCTACCTGGTGAAATGATTTAAACTGAAATCCCTGTGATCATTGTTTCATGTAAGGCTTTTGACCAAATGTCATCT